AGGAAAATTATCCAGGTCACTCTCTTGGTTTCTTATTTGTATATCCCTTTTAATTATTAAGGCATCAGCCAGTTTCTTTTGTATGTCCAGTGTAGCCTCTTTTTGTATAACATTCTTATAGCTGTCGTTTTTAAATCCACTTTCAGTTCAGGCTCAATCTTGTCAGGTAAAACTTGTTCTTCTTCCATAACATCTTTTAAACACAGTCTATCTATAGAAGCAGACACTCAATGTTAACTTCTGGGCCCATTGTTCAAAAATATCCTCTAATATGTCCAATGTTAAAATACTTTGTTTTATTCTGTATTAGTAAGTCAAATTTAAGTGTTCTTCTCCTTTAATTGTAATCTTTAGTTCTTTCTAGTTCCCTCTAGTGTCCAATTTTTAAAGTCTTATCCTTTTTTTTTTTTTAAGAATTCAAAACAAAAGCATGTTCTCATGGGAAGGATTCGTATAATTAATTCCAAAGACTTATTTCAAATCCATCTGAACCCTTAGTCCATTTGTAACTTTCCAAAATCAATGTTCTAATCACCCTTTTGCTGTTTATTCCCCCCAAAATATTTTTAAGTCCTTACATTTGTATTTAAAACTTCTTTTGCTAAGGATTGAAAGAAACTCACTCAGTGTTTTCAAACTTGTTGATCCAAAGGTTCCTAATAGCTACAAAGCAGTTACAGCAGTTTCTGAAAGTGATTAGAAAAGGAAGTATGCGAGCCCAGTGTCCTTAAAGGCGCCAACAATGGTTTGGGCAAGTTGGCTATCCCCTCATCTCCCAGAGCTCTATACGTGCCGGAGACCACTGTCTTACGGCCTCCTCATGAGGAGCAACTGTCTGGAGCACTTGTGGGCTATCTCAAGTTCTGTTCTTGTCCAGAGAGGAGTTATGAAGAGCCAGTCTACTCACTGGCTCTTCAATTCACAATTTCTTCCCTAAAAGTCCATTTTATTTTCTTTTATGTACTGGCAATATAATGGTTTACTTCTTCAATTTTTATAACAGTTTTATAACAGTTCATTTTTATAGTCAATTTTTTCTTCTGATACTTTCAGGATGTTTTCTTTGCAAACTGCAATAAGCATTTTCTCTTTGCTTTCCTTAGTGTAATTATTTAATCCAGATTTCTCTTCTTTCTTCTTCAACTGCATGCTTTTCCTGCAGTAAACCAAGGCCTCCAATGTTTTAGTGCTAATATAGTCAATTGACATCATTCCATGGATGCACTGTTATCAGTTTTCAGATTTTCCAATCTAAATAGTCCAAGCTATGTCCAATTTACTATACCAGCAGCATATCTGATTACCTGTATCACTGATCTGTTTATGACTTTTATTGTATTTCCACAATTTAATCTTGCATTTAGAATTTTTACATCATCATCATCATCATCATCATCATCATCATCATCATCATCATCATCATCATCATCATCATCATCATCATCATCATCATCATCATCATCATCATCATCATCATCATCATCATCATCATCATCATCATCATCATCATCATCATCATCATCATCATCATCATCATCATCATCATCATCATCATCATCATCATCATCATCATCATCATCATCATCATCATCATCATCATCATCATCATCATCATCTTTGCATGTAGGGCATAGCAGAACTATGATAAAAAGCATCTTACTTATAAAGATGTCTTCCTCCTGGTCTACTTTCAAATTCATTACTAATAAAGTATCTGGGAAATAAACAAATAGGTTATTGGTTGATTAATACATCATCCTGATAATAATTTAGAATTATTGTAATTAAAATAGCCTAAGGCAATAATACAGAAGTGGCTATAAGAGGTTAAATGGTTAAATATAAAGTGCAATACCTAGCAATTCTACATGAGTCACTAAACTGGGAAACACATTATGCTACCACAAAAAATGGAAATTATCTCATTAGATGGAAAGTAGTAGGCAAAGCAGAAACAAGTGCACTAATTATTTAATAGACAATTATCAACACAGACCTCTGATTCTAAATATCCAATGATTTTTTATTATTTCCACTGAACTGTACCTATAGAGAATGTATTAGGTGTTTAGCAGCTATAATAAATAAATCTTAAATCAGAGGAATGTATTCAACAGTTTTAATATGATTTCCATGGAATGTCTTATCAAGAGAAAATATAATAGGTGTCTAACTTGTAGTAATTAAATTGGTGAAACTTTCCTGGATGTATTTCTTAAATAACTACAACGTGTTATTGATTTGGTTTATTGTATGTGTGCATTGGGGGAGGGAGGGTTAGCATGTTTATGTTACATTATTGTATTGCTTACTTTTTATTATATCTAAATTTTAGGTGTGTATGTGTGTATTCGATATGCCTATTTGACGTATATTGCATTTTCTGATTGCACTGCTGTAATAAAGAGAAAGCATTAGGAGTGGGACCTATGTAAGAAAAGCAGAGAATGAGGGAAAGAGAATGGCATTTTCATAATCATGGATAAAAGATACTGTGCCTCAGTGTCATTCTATTATAGAATATCACTCATTAAGCACAGATTATTTTGACAGATAGGCTCCCAGTTCAACTGAAATTAGTGGCACTTGGGTCCTACTGAAATCAACAAGCTTAATGATTAACTTGTCACATAGAAGTCAGTGGGATGTAAAAAAAACCAAATTTGTCTTAATAAGATTGGGATTAGAAGATTTATATCTCAAGAATCACAAGGTTTTGGACTATCAGGAAGACATAAACCAAATGATGGGGGGGTTAGCCCAATCAGCATATATGGCAAGGAAGCATAACATTGCCATGCAAAATTTCTTATGCTTTCATCCAGTCTCAGTTTTTAATACTACAGACAAAAACAACAGAAACAGGAAAAGCTGTTTCTAGAAAAAGATAATCTAAACGATAAAAATAATCTAAGGGATTATTTACACATCCATCACACTAATATTCAAGTTATCAGTGGATACTCACAGACTGTTATTTGTTACAGCAGCTATACTGATTACTTCCCATTTTCCACTTGTAATAGGTTTCATTTGCTAAGTATAAAGAGTAGATAAAACATGAATCTCCATAAATATAAGGTTACACATATATGCACATATCAATGTCTGCAGCAAACTGTGATGACTCCAAAATGATAATATGAATGCAATGATAGTGTCACAAAAATGCTGCCATTATGTCTTATGCAAGTCCATCAGCCATGGCATTGGAATGATATCATTTGCCTCTGTTTGCCCCCTTTATGAACAAACATGAAACATGCACACATAATCATTACTTACTCCTGTGCTATCAGTGTAGTGAATATGTTCATATCCCTCTGAATCACTGATAATTTTGTAGTAGCTAATTTTGTCAGAAGCAAAGTAAGGTTCAGATGGCTGAAACTGGGAAAAAGAACAATTAACATGTTTATAGAAAGTAATGGTTAGTAAATATTCAATTTCATAGGTTTATTATTTTTACCTCAGAAAAATCCATTGACCATCAAATTTTTGGTTCAGGGATTGAAAAAAATAATTTTTACTCCCCAAATGCCAAGTTATTGCTAATGTTTTCAAAATAAATAGAACAAAAACAATAGGTTTCTACTGTGGTGTGGGTTGTTTCTTATAGAAGGACTCTTCAATATATAACATTAGTGAATTGCAATTACTTGGCTCTTATTTCTGTTTCTTTTATGCACACAAGGTCTTTAACTGCTCTTTTTTCCTTTATTTTCTTTTGCTGTTTTTTGTGATATAAGGAATGGAAGGTATTTATTAAAAAGAAAATCATAATTTATTACTTGTTGACATGTAGGCCTTTGAATATTTGCAAAACAATAAATAATTTGAAGGAAGCAAAGTGATGCCAGCACTCTAACTCTGCCCAATTTCATGTTCTCCTCCTCTGATACCTGAAAGTTGACAAGCACTGAAATTTAACCAAGCACTGTTCTGTGCTAAGCTGAGAAGACTGAGTTGTCTACCAGGAGGAGGGATTTGTTCCAGTAGCTTTTCTGCTAACTGAATGTAGGAGACAGTCATCATCGATTTAACATTATTCTGCAATTCTATACATTCAACAGAAATCTTGGAGGGTTGGAAACCTGTCAGTGATCTTCAGCCTTTTTTGGATCAACACTCATTAATTTCAAAATTTTTACATCTGCAGTAAGTTTACTGCATTACCAATTGTTACATTTTGGTACTGTCAATCATTAAATTTATTAATTTAAAATTTTAAGACGAATATTCTAAATCAAACAAATATATTTGTTATTCATACAAACCTATTTACCAAAAAAAAATGAAATTATATTTGAAGTGGCACAAATGAACCTATGTGAAAGGTTTAGGATTTTGAACTTCCTCACCAAGGAACTTTCTTGGTTTACACACCAAAAAGTCCCTGCCAGAAGTAGCTGCATCTCAGTTACTATTGCTACCATCTATCTTCCAAGGGGTGGTTCACCTGTCATTCCCCTAACTACAATCTCTGAAGGTGAAAAGGTTCCCATTGTCTTACTGCCTTCTGATACATAAAAGGTAAACATTTCTATAATGCAACTTATAATGGTTTTGTAGCATTATATTGTATAGGGCATGTTGATGTATGTGAGGGAAGTAACCCAAGATGACTTGTTCTGTGCTGGAAATTTGTGGCTCCAATTAGTCCTGCTGGTTTCCTGTGGGAATGATTTCTTCAGGCCTGTCCCTGACCTGTTCTCCTGCCCCTCTATCTTATTTTGGTTCTGAGGAAGAGTAGAACTGAGCTTCTACCATCATTTTTTAAAAAAGAGATTCCTCCACTTAAGAGTGCAAAGTCTTGAAATTGACTAGCCTATTCTTGACTTAAGTCATATAATTCAAAGTGTAATTGAAAGGAATAATCTCTTGCAAATTCCTAGCAGGGAATTTTCTTCCCAGTGGCTGTTTCTGTCAAGAGCCCTGGCTTCTCATGTAACAGTCTTAGGATGATTTAGAGGTCCCATACTGATTCTCACAGTTAACTCCCATCCTCAAACTCCAGCTCTTCAACAGCTCTCATCCCACAGCTGCACAATCCAGAGAACTACTAGATGGAAACCAAGAGACACAGAAAGCTCCTTTTGCTGCTACTAGTCAACCTATAGTTTCAAGGAACTGTAACAAAAATGTTCACTCAGCTAATAGTGTAATGGAAAAAAAAAAAACCAAGTTAAGGAATAATCAGTGTCGCTCATGCCAGCTGGAGATTTTTCACATGGTGGATGACGTCGGATAAGAAATTTCAGTTGAGGGCATAACTAATCACAGTCTGTAGAACATTGCACATTTCATCTGTGCAACATAATTGCTCTGGGTACACAGTAAGGGCAAGGCAGAAGATTTCCTTCTGGCTCTAGAAGAAGAGAACTTTGCCAAGCAGCTTTGTGTATATGGCCTCAGTTTTCTGCCATCTATAATTCTGCAGGGAAGACTGTAAGATTCCATCTCAAGAGAACCAATGCGATGATACAGACAGTGTTGCATGACTCTCTGTATCAAGCCTGGTGTTCTAAATTAATAAAACCTTTGCTAATCAATTGTTTAGATCAGCCAGAACAAGCAAATGTTTTCATCCTGCCAGGGGATTGATTTGCAAATTTGGTGCAACTGTAATTGCTGTCATAGGATTCTGGATTTAACACTGGAAATGTTTATTGGTTGACTTATTTCTGTGACATGGTTTATTATTCATTTTACTAAATGGCTTCTACTGCATTAACTTTTCATGTTGGTTTTATGTGATGGTGTTGTTATTGATTTGTTTTTGATCCTAAATAAACTTTCTCTTTCAATATATTGTTCTATCCTCCCTTTGTCTATAGATTTCCAAATCTCAACAGTGACCAATGTATTATTCTAGTCATTCCAAAAGCTGCTAAATTTCCACTCCAACATTCCATCTTCCATTTCCACCAGTTTGGCTAGCGTTGATGGGAGTTGGAGATATAGCTCAACAGCATGAAGAGAGGTCCATGTCCATCCATATTATTCTATTCCTGGCTCTACCCATTCTTGATTCTACCCCAATCAAATTTTCAGGGGCACTAAAAAAAAAAAATATTGAAAGGGAAAGTTCCAGGTATCTGTCCTATAGAGTAATAAGATATGTTGTACTTTCTTGATGAGATTGACTTATTTGAGCATATCGTCCCATAGTGGAACAAGCATGATAATAATAATGTTAACCTATTCTTTACTAGTCTTATAGTACATTTGTACTCCACCTTTTTTCTTTCCTTTCTTTTTGCTTAACTGTTCACACCATACACAATCTGCTTATCACATTGCTTCCAGAGATTTTTATCATATAGAGCTAAAATGTGTTAGCTATATTAAGGTCTCTCCTTTCTGATCAGGTTTGGCAGCAGAAGATACTATCTTTCATTCTTTTGTATGGTAGATTTATCCTTGCTACTTTTTTTCTCACCGTGACTCTTGTAAGCAAGTGTTGAAGGGAAAAAAAGTATCATTCATGCATCTAGATTTAGTGATCTTACAGTACAACTCCATTTTCCTACAAAGTTGTTCCCCTTTTACAGTAGAACCTCGTAATCTAGTGACAGTATTGTTAACATTGTTGTCTTAATTATGGTTTTCTCTAATGTACTAGATGAATGATTCTGTGTATATCTGTTAAAACAAAACACTGAATGCTGAGATTAATTTACAGATACACTGTTTAAGATTGCAAGTTTAATATTCTTGAGAGCCAGGAATCTCCCTGTTTTTGCTATTAAGGGTTAAGGCTAGAATGAGGCTTATATTAAGTTAACTGAATTTAATTTTTAGGAGATATGTGCAGGTCTGCATTGTTAGTTACCCATTATGTAGGCATTTGAAGGTGACACAGAAAAAGAAAAAAAAATGCTGTTCAGTTTGAAATGAGATCCAAGATCTCATTGGATTATGTATCCAGGACACAAACATTACATTGTATGGTCCCAATAATGTGATCAGCTACTAGTTGTTGGATTTAGAATGTGAAAAATCCAAATTTCCATTTAATATATTTAAGCAAGCTACTACTTTTAAATAAATATCCCTTACAGGAAATACAGCAAAGAAGATTATCCTAAAGATGAAATCAGAAATATCTATGCTTGCTATGCCAAACTCCATCACAGAAGAATTGCCAATATCAGGATGAATATCCACATCAGCAAATAATAATTTACATTAATTTGATTAACATGAGGTCCTAGCAGCAGTTCCATTATTCTAAGGATAAATGGATATGATTACATCCCATGAAAAATCAAGTTGTTATCAAGTTTCATCTTCTCATGCCTCCCAAGTAACGCACTGGGAAAAAATACATATAACATGATATCGTCTTGGACAATGATGTTTGGTTCTTTGACTATTGCTTGAAGAGAATGCAAAAAGACTATAATGCTATTATATCACATCTCCTTTTTAAAAATTCGGCATTACAGGAGAGAAATGTGAGAGAGCTGTGGGTTCTATATTATACCCAACTCGATCCTTTGTTATAGTCTTAATTAATACAGTTGAGAAACTAATGTATTTCACATATGAGGCTGGGGGGATAATTACAATTCTAAATGGTCTTGGAAAGAATCCTCAGCATTTCACTTGGAAAAAAACAGTTATTTAGAAGAGCTAACTTTGTATCTACATATTAAACTACCCGTTACAAAGCAGTAACATACAGTATTGTTCAGGTACTTTGTTGGCAGTTGTCTTTAAGATGCAAAACAGGAAGGTTTAATTCTTCTCAACCAGTTATTTTTCCTGCCCTGAAACCCACATATACACATGCAAACACACATTTCTAATGTTGTTTTAAGCTTGTGTTTATCTCACTAATATGGGGCTGGAAGCTGGCAAGGAAGAAAATGATACAGAAAAGAGCTGGCAGATACAATGAAATGCTTCCTTTCCTCATTGTAAGATATCTCTTTAGCCATGCTCTGCAGGAATGGATGCATGGCTGCTGTGTGACATATAAGTTGATCCTTAAAT